TGGAGAAGTGAACTGGCATATTAAAGTGTGGTGTGAAGCATTGAATACACTACTGCTGGCTGGGAGTGGGAATGTTAGTAAGACCTGGTCTGCTGGCAGCAATCCATTTCTACTCGTGCTGAAGAAGCAGTGCTAGTAAGCTCTTCTTTAGTCTAGCTAGCTTTACTAACATTCTGTCACTGTTGTACTGAAAATATTTTTGGCAGTTCAAGCTATTTTTTCACACTGTAATAGCCTTATTTAATTTTAAATTGTTAATCTTTTTCCTCCCACCGTTTCCTCAGCTACGCTTATGTAGCTGATGATGGTGGGAATAAGGACCTCATCAGAGTTTTTCTCATTGTGTGATGTTAAGACAATATATATTGTGATTCCAAACAAATTTTCTATTTGACAAAGCCCTTTGCTGGCTTTAGATGATTTTTTCCTGTATCATATTGTTCTCTTATAAATATATATTTAGGGAATTGTGCACACTTCCAAATACAAAGGGGTAGACTTTCACTGCCTTAGGAAAGAAATCACTTTTAATAAGAGTTGTATGATAAATAAATGCAAGTTGATGAAAATTGGAGTGTAAATATTTTTTACGTACTTCAGGTTTCTTATTTGAAAGTGTGCTTTTACCGTTTCACCTGTTAAATATGAAGTAGAAGATTAAACTGGTTCAAAGTGTTAATGAAGGATCTGCATGCTTGCTATGTCTGTTAATCAGGAAAAGCAAGCCTCTCCCAACTTATCTTGAGAACACTAGCAGCCTTACAGTGACACATTTTTCTTAAGGAAAAAAAAACTTATGCTGTGGCTGAATTACTGTTGCTGCTAGAATCTGAAAAAGGCTTAGCAAAAAAAAAAAAAGTATCCATAACCTTCAGTTGAGTGGATTTGGCCGCTATTGGGCATTCGGGTCAAGTGTGAATATGTGTAAAAGTGCTTTTCATATTTGTCTGTGCATTATTATGAAAAACATCAAAACTGCTGTAGTTTCCCATTTCTACTGTATTTCACTTGCAACCTATTTTTAATAAAGTTTGTATTGTATTTAACTTTGCATTAAATGTTTTTTTGTACTCTTTGTTTTTTGACTCTGCGTTGGCAGCAGTGTTACTATAAACACAAGTGGCTATTTTTAATGTTTCCCTTACTTTTTAAAACACAAGCCAAGTCGATGCATCTCATAATGATGGGAACCTGAAATGAATTTCACGTAGGGAACCAAGCAAGGAAGTTCATCCTCACAGATCAGCGGGGAGAATTTAATGTTCAGTACCTGAACAAGTGATTTTTACAGTTATCCAGCCACTTACGAAATAGTAAGTATTGATGGGATCAAATATGCAGGCTAGCTCATGGATTCTGGTGAATGGTGCTGTATTTGTATTCTCCTCCAGTGCAAAGTGTGTTCCTGAGAATGAAAGTGAACCTGAAGTACAACTTCTTTTTGGAAAAGGCGATTGTGAGTAATACTGGAACCAAAGGCTCCATTGTGATTGCCGTGGTTAAGAAGGCATTTGGATGATGTTTCTCCTGTTGCTGCATTAATAACACCACATGACTTGCAGTTGAAGTTGAAGTTCTGTTTGAGGAGAGCAGAGGTGGGAATTTTGTCACGGTGAAGTGCTGTAGATTCCAGCTGCTGTAGCTGAGTGTCTGCTGCAGATGGGATCGAGAGCCATGTGCACCTCTTTCCAGGCAAGTACCTTCATCACACCCAGAGGGTGATGACACACTGGGACAGGTTGCCCAAGGAGGCTGTGGATGCCCCATCCCTGGAGGCATTCCAGGCCAGGCTGGATGTGGCTCTGGGCAGCCAGGTCTGGTGGTTGGCAATCCTGCACATAGCAGGGGAGTTGAAACTAGATGATCATTGTGGTTCTTTTGAACCCAGGCCATTCTATGACTCTATGATCTCTCCAGTTGCAAGGTCTACTCTCCAGAATTTTCACAATCACTAGTGAGGACGTTCTGAAGGTGTGGGCGAGTGGGACCTTGTGTCAGTGCTTTTGAGTCGGTGGACTGTGACCATAAGAATAAAGCTAAAGGAAAAAAGGTGTTTTAATATTGAATGCGTAGTCTAGAAGAAAAAGGAAACAACCCATTGTCACCATCCCCTTTTCTTTATGGGTATGAACAAGCACCCTTAGCGACTTTGGGTAAATGATATTTGCATATGCAGCCAGGTCTGCCACCTCCAAAAAGACTCTGATTATCTTAAATTTCTGCCACATTCTCCCTTTTGCACCTATCATTCCCATGCCACGCTTCTTAACTGCTTTTACATGCCGCTTGTGCTATGGCCTTGTTGGTAGCTGAGAAAAGGAGAGGGGAACTAAGAATCTGAGAAAGTCCAGAAGATAGATCCTGTTTACTGAAATAATATTTTCTTGATCCTAATGATTGTTTGTAGATCAAGCAGTGAGTTCAGCAGCAGAATAAACAAATGAGACCTTTCTCCTTTACCTCCCAATTCAAAAAGTTAATTGAGTTACGACAAATTACAACAAAAACAGTAATAGCAATAACCTTCACTAAGAACAGTCTGGAAAAAAAAAAAAAATACAGTAAAGCACAAGAGTTTGCTAATGAGAACAGGAAAACATGTAGCTCTTCCTCCTGTTGTGTCAGATAGTTCTGTCGCAGTCACCTGGGGGCTGTGTGGCTGAGAAGGCAAAGCCTGACAGCTTAAGCAGTCTGTCAATTTGTTTCCTAGCTGTAATGACAGATAAACTGCTTAGCAAGACCAGCAATATGCAATTAACCTGCTTGGACAATACTCATATATTCTTAGTAACAGATGAACATTCAGGATTGCCTTACAGTTGTTGATGCAAATGTTTTTTTAAGTTGAGTAATTAAATATTTATAGCTTCACTGAATATCATGTTTGCATGGATGGGTTAATTTCGCTCGTGCTTTGATTGTAAACATGTTAATGTGTGAGGAATGTTAAATCCTCTAAAGGTACACTTTTTGCTGTGGATGTGCACCAGAGCTGCTTCTTTCAGAACGAAGCAAACTCATTCTTTTGCAAAAATCTCTTCGGTAGGCAGACGGTATCAAGTGGCTTTTCCTCTCAGGAGGTCAGGCTTGTAATTATCTTCCAGTAGGCAAGATGATGGCAGGGAAGATTCAGGCTGGATGTTAGGAAATACTTCTCCAAGAGTGGTCAAGCACTGGAATTGGCTGCCCAGGGAGATGGTGGAATCACTTTCCTGGGAGGTGTTGAAGGAACATTTGGATTTTGTGGTGAGGGACATGGTGTAGTGAGAACTATTGGTGATACGTGGAAAGTTGGACTGAATGGTCTTGTAAGTCTTCGTGATTCTAGGATAGCAGGGGGAGACTCTATGTACTATTCTTCTACAGCAGATAACATTAGCAGGCGTGGTTAACTATCAAAGCTCAGGGAAAATCTGTTCAGGCAATCACTGTGAGTTCCCTTCACCTCATGGCTGCGAGTTTATCTGCTTGGGACAATGAAAGGCATTTAAATAAAATTAGGTTGAGAAATGAAGTGGACAATGTTTTAGGGAGCTTAAAAGACCACGTGCAAAACATCAGTCTTAAATTTCTGTCTGCTTGACATGACGAATGTGCTGTCACCTGGGGAGCAGAAAATTGGAAGGCATGCAGCAGTGAGTCTCTTGGTGTTTGGCATAATGGACAATTCCTATCAGAATACTGAAGCTGAGACCTCAGCCTTTTGTTTTCACTATGAGGGTCAGCATGAAATGCATCAGCAGTAGCTGACGCAACATTTACATTTAGTAAATTTACAACATCTACATTTAGTAATGTTTAGTACCTCCAGTTTTCATAATTCACCATCGTGTTTCACTGATGTTAATGGAGAAAAACGTGCAGTAGATTTAGTCATTGTCATGAAACTTCCAGCCTCCTTGTTTCCCTGGAATTATCTGTAACAAGGCCGGATTCTTCTTTTGCAGACAGGAGGCAGACAGGATCAGGTTGGTAGACGTTTGGGGAAAAGAGGAGATTCTTCAGAGCAGAGGATGCCATTAGAAAAGCATGCTGGAATACAGCCTTGCAGCATTTCTAGATGACAGATTTTTGGTTCCTTGCCTAGACCTCACTGATACTGCGTATAAAAATCAGAGCTCAGTGTCAAAAACTGTAAGCTACACCCCTGAGCTACTAAAATACTTCCCCAGACTGGCTGACTGGTGATAAAATCTGACTCAATCAGTGCCAACATCCTTTAAGGTCAGCAGGAGAACAGTGCATTGGAACTTTCTTTTCTTTCTTTCTTTCTTTCTTTCTTTCTTTCTTTCTTTCTTTCTTTCTTTCTTTCTTTCTTTCTTTCTTTCTTTCTCTCTTTCTCTCTTTCTCTCTTTCTCTCTTTCTCTCTTTCTCTCTTTCTCTCTTTCTCTCTTTCTCTCTTTCTCTCTTTCTCTCTTTCTCTCTTGCTGAGTCCATTCTCAGTTTTCGTTTATCCCATCAGAGCAAGGGATGAACGGCTGAGAGGCTTCTGGCCAGCACGATTTTGTGCTGTTTCTTTTAAGAAATAAAAATAAAAGCTGTGGCTGCAGGGCGTCGTTGATGTGGAAGGAGGCTGCAGTACCATAGGAGCCAGTGGGCCGAGGGGGCTGCGCAAAGACGTTTGGTGTGGTCTGAACCAGACGACGGGCAGCAGCACGAGTGGATTCCTCCGTAATTACTCTGTAAGTACGGTTGGGCACTAAGCTCAATTACAAACAGCACGAGCCGTTCAGCCCGAGCAGGAACGAACAGCTGAGAGGAGGAGGCCGTCTCGGGCAGCCTCTTCCTCCTCCCCGCCGAGCCCAGCACTCTCCCCCAGCAGCAGCGTACACCCGAGTACACGACCTCCCGCACCCTGCCCTTCTCCAGGCCCGGCAGGCGCTGTGCGGGTGCCAATCCCGACCCCCGCCAGCCCCGACCGGAGGCGGCCGCTATCACGGACGCCGCCCAGGCTGTCGGGAGGCGGTGCCGTCAGAACGGCAGCACCGCCGGGACCGCGCCCTCCTTCCCAGCCGCGCCTCGTAAGCCCTCAGGGATTTAACCCCCAGCTCGGCGCCGCGCGGGGAGCCGAGCTCCGATCCGAGCGGCGCGATGCGGCCGCGGGGAGGGCTCGGGCCGGGCCCGGTGTGGGCGCAGAGGGTGCGGCAGCTGGAGCAGAGAGCGCGAGTGAGCCCGGCACGGGGCGAGGCGGAGGGGGGACGGGCAGAGGGCGGGGCCGGAGGGAGGGGCAGGGCGGCCAGTGAGGCTGCCGGGGACTGACAGCAGCAGAGCCGCTGTCTGTTAGAAGTGGGGTCTGAGGCTTAGCGGTGAGAATCCTCAAGGCAGCGGGTGCTGTCGCGGTACGGCTCCTAAATGCCGTTCCTACCTGATGAACCTGCTCTCTTTTATGACGAGGTTACCCCTCTGGTAGACCAGTTGATGAAATCCTTTTGGATTTCAGCAAAGCTTTTGGCACTAGTTCAAAGCAAAGCTAGATCAGACCCTAGGCGACCCGGCGTAGCTGTGGTTCACTGCAGGGTAGTTGGACGGAATGACTTCAGAGATCCCTTCCAACTCTAAGGATTCTATGATTCCATTTCTCACAGCATCTTTCTGAACAAGATGCACGGCACAGAGCTGGACAAAACTGCAGTGCAATGAGTGAACCCTTGGCTTGATGTTGAGGGTACCACCGATGGGGTGATGTCAGGCTGATGCCCAGTCACTGCTGGGGTGCCGTAGGGCTCCTTTTTGAGCACAGCTCACTTCAGTGCTCCTGTGGCACACCTCCCCTACCAGCACAGACTGAGAGCTGAGGGTGGGCAGCCATGAGCAGAGAAGGCTGCTGGGTGAAGTGAGAGCGGCCTGTCAGTATTTAAAGGGAGGCTGTAAGAAAGAAGGGGACAGAGTCTTTAGCAGGGTCTGCTGTGACAGAATAAGACAAAACGGTTTCAAATGGAAAGATTTAGGTTTGAGACTGGTAGTCCTTTGATTCTGGGAGACCGAGAAACAATGGTGCGCAGTAATGAAAAGTATTAATGAAGCGATGTTCATCAGACTCATGTCATTTTTACTTCTGTGGGTTTGCATACGTTTTTATTGTTTCCTTTTTTCTTAGGCCCAAGAAGAAAGAATAATTGCCTTGGAAACTGAAAATGCTGCCCTTCATCTGAAACTTGCAGCGGTAATTATTGTTTGCTTTTCCAATTAGGACTATCATAGACTGCAGGAACCACATTTAGTTGTGCACAAAGATGCTCAGCTATGTGTCTTAATAGCGCAAGTACAAAGCTTATCCAGAAAAGGCAGCACTGTGGCAGGAATCAGCTACAGAGCACGCAGCAGTGATGGATGCCCTCATTTCCTTATATCCCTTTTCAGAGGGGTCTGTTACTTCTAGAGCATTATTGAAACGAGCAGCAGGCTGCGATAACATTTGGTGACTTCAAAGGTAAGGCTTCAAACGTTTAGAGCACTGTGATATTTATCCACGCCTCTAGACCAGAGCCAGCTGTGACAACTGGTTGCAACAGAGTCTGCTGGCCAAGAGTTTCTAATCTGCTCTGCAGTGTTAAATGGTTGGGTGACCTCAGGAAAGCCACTTGCCCTCTCTTAGGGTCTGTTAATACCTGTGGATAAAAGTGGGTTTAACGTTTTCCAAAGCCTGATTGCAAGCCAGATGGTACATCTGAAGTGAGTTTTGCCAGGTATGCGGGAGAATGCTGTAATTATTCTGAAGAAAATGTTTGTTGTTTTTTTCTGTTTCATCGTATTTACCAAAAATCTTAAATATTTCACCTTTTTTTTTCTCACTCTCTCAAACACAAGGAACAATTATTCTAGTCACTACAGTGCATCAGTAAGACATAGTTATCTGCATATTAGATGATAGAAGCTTGTTTTCCGTGGATTTGGGGATTGTGGTAACTTATTTTTTAACTGCATTGTCAAGAGTCCCTGTTATACACAAGGAAATATGCTCAAAATACCTGACAGAGAGGGGAAAGGTTTTGTGTAGGTATTGAAATGCATCTGGGATTTACCATCTGGCCTACGAACAAGCTTTGAAAATCATTTAATCCACTTTACCCTCAAGAGTTTTCTATTGGCTGTCTATTATTGCAACATCTGCAATTCTAGCTTGTGCCACCTCTCCCTTTGCTACCTGCACCCTCATAGCCACCCTCTGCACCCACTGAGTTGATCCTGTGTCTCTCAGTAGTTCGTATGTTGCCCACCTCAGTGCCACCCATCTCTGTCACTTCCCTTTGTTCTGCCAGGCCAGAAGCAGTGGATGGTGGCTCTAACAAGGTCTGGAGCCACATGTTTTGGTTGCCTGGTGAACCAGTTCCATTTACCTGCCAGCTGGCGAAACACAGCTTTGGAGGGACATGTTTCTTGGGGACATGTTTCAGTAATGCAGCATTTTGAGACCTCTGTTTATTCTGATGTATGCAAAAACTATTCTAATGGAGAAAACCTCAAACCCAAGGCAGCATTTGCAATGAAGTAGTGGACGTGATGAGAAATGGACTCAATGAAGGAAGATCTGACCATTTGCATCTTCCATGTTGAGAAAAAGAAAAAAGGAGGTCTGGGGGAACTTATGTAGATGGTAGAGAATGCATTAGATGTTAAAAAAAATAATAAAAAAATTTGGTTTTAGCTAGCTTGAACTTATAACAAGGCTTCAGTACTTCAGCTGCTTATATTAACTTTTTACACGTGATTGGAGCTATTAATTCTGGTGCACTTCTGTGCATTTCTGTCAAGCATGTTTATAAATACAAATGTTTTCATGAAAATCTCCAGGGTAAAACACACAAATGTCCATATAGGAGCTGTCTCAATTACTAAAGCTTCTAATAAAAGAGTTATTTTAAAATAATCTCCTCCTGCTATTCATTTTTCTATGTAAGCACTTTATATATTAGCACTGAGGTGTTTTACAGCTATGCAGGACCTCTGGTTCCATTTGTAAATAAAAACACCAAACTTTGTTTAAAAAGACTAAACTTTGTTTAGACAGGTGAAATATTTCTCTTGGACAACATATGTTTTCTTTATTCTGACATCTCCCAAATATCTTACTGTTGTTTTTAAGGATGTCATCTGTAATTAACTGCAATTAAGTCCATTTGGTTTTTACCTACTGTTATCAGAGGATTGGAATTAAGCTCCATTACATGAGGAGTGAATGCCACTGCATTTTTCTATCTTCTGCTAAGTGAAATGGCAGGGAACTGCAGTCACCAAATCTCTGATCTGAATAAACTAGGAAATAATTATGTGCTAGAGACAGCTACATTCCCAAAATAAGGGGAGAGGCTGTAAGTATTGGTTAAAGAATGGTAGATGTCAATATGCTGCTGAGAAGAGCAGGTGAAAAAGTTACAGCTAACTTAAGTACCAGGATTGTCAGTAAATGGCAAACATGCAGCTTCTAACATAGCGCAAATTCTGTCAAATTACAGAATTTCACAAGTACTCTGTGTAGATTTAATTCCTGTGTTCTTGCCTGTAAATACATAAAGTTACACTATTCCTATTCTTCTTTTGACTTCAGCATCTCAAGAAGTTTGTCTGTAACATTACTAGAAAGCATTCTTCTCCACATCCCTTAGGAAATTGCTTTTCTTGCTTTGATCTGTGAAGACCCAGCTTAGTGCTTGACTGGTACAGTTTTGCACTGTTGCAACTTTACTGAATGCAGTGGAGTCAATATTGGCCGAAAGCTAAAGCAATGAACACAACGCTGTGGGCTCTGTATAACCATTCCTTCAGCACTTCAGCCGTTAGCTGCTGTGCCCTCTTGTTCTGCTAAATCTTTTGTGAGAGCTTACCAATTAAATATAGTCACTAGAAGATGCTGATCTGATGCCAGTTATGTAACTGGCCCTGTGCAAAGGCACAGTTTTAACTTAGATCCACCTCAAGCACAGGAATGGGGCTATGGGCACTGCAGGCACATTTTCGTGTTCTGATGTTGAGGTTTGTGACTCAAAGGAAGTAGAATATTGTGGTGTTAGTCCGCTTAATTAGAAACAATCCTTCACATGACTCAGAAAAATATGAAAAGAAAGAAATCACATGTTTGCAACATCATGTATAGCCAGTTGATTCACTTCCAGAAATGCTTCCAGGGACAGAGGAGATAGAATGCATCAAAAATCAGGAACAATTTGAAGTGATTTTTAGGTGATCTTTTCTTTTTTCAAACAGTATCAAGGGTGGGCTGGAAGAAGTGTTAACGAGATATTACAGCTCTACTCTGCTCATGGCCAGCAGCAGAAATTGCAGAGTTCTGTTGTAACTCACCTACATGAAGCAATGAAGGTAAAGGTATTTAGTAGTAATGTTGGCATAACCTATGACATAGACATATGCATGCTTATGAAATACAGTAAGATCCAGAAATGGCCAGATTTGAACCTGATCTATAGCTTTTCTTTAGTTACAGCAGTACTTGCAGTAAAGCGTAGCCATGGCTGAGTTAGCTTAAAACTGTTTTACAAGGGTGGATAATAGCAGAACAAGGAGAAATGGTTTTAAGTTGAAGGAGGGGAGATTTAGGTTGGATATCAGAGGGAAATTCTTCACAGCGAGAGTGGTGAGGTGCTGGAACAGGCTGCCCAGAGAGGCTGTGGATGCCCCATCCCTGGAGGTGTTCAGGGCCAGGTTGGATGGGGCCCTGACAGCCTGGTCTAGTATTAAATGGGGAGGTTGTCAGTTCTACCTGCAGCGGGGTGATTGGAGCTTGATGATCCTTGAGGTCCCTTCCAACCCAAGCCATTCTATGATTCTGTGATTCTAACACCTGTGGTGGTTATGCTGCAGTAGGCTGCAAAAATTACCTGGGAAGCTGGGCAAGTGGCTGCTTCTGTACTCCAGTATCTCCTGAATAGGCTGCTATCAGAGCCTGGAATAGGAATGTATGTAGACAAAACCTTGAATCCTTGACAGGACAGGGTAGATGTCTACCAGGTAGACATCTCCTAAGACACAATACTTGTTAGATACTTTAACTAGATAGCCACATGCTAACAAGATCACTGGTGAGCTCTGTTAATTTCACTGGGAGCTCTCTGTTTTGGAGGACCTCAGAAGCAGGAGTAGTAATTTGTATGCTCAGTCATATTGCCTGAATTTGTAACAAAGATACCAGACTGTTCTCTCAGTAATAGCACAATAATATTTCCTTTTGTTGGTGTACTTGTTTCTTCAGTTAAGTCGTAGAATAAGGAATTCCTTTAAGGGACACTGAGAAATGTCAACTTTTCTCAGAGTAGCACTGAATAGATTCGGGTAGCAAAAATATCCTAAAAAAAAAATAAATCAGTTGCTTTTGGTCGAAAAGATTTAGCTTAATTACAGTGATTCTTCTTGGTAAATCTTGTAGTAGCATTTTATAGTTCAATCAAGACTAGGACAGGAAAAACTCTCCAAATGACAGTCTAAATTAACGCTAATCCTATACGTGTAATTTAAAAAATAACAATAATAATAATTTTAAAAAATAATCCTTCATACTTATGTTCTGAGAGTGAAAGCTACAGCGATTTTCTCACCTTAGTTTATATTGTTGTATCACTGAAATGAGTTAATTCATTCAAGGTTACTAGCACAACTGAAAAAATAAAATGTTGCAGAATAATTTGACTGTCTAAAGAAGCATCATGATGCTTCTATGAGAAGAAGTTTCATTAAGTTCATTTTATAGATGGCTTTACATATCCTTTCCAAAACTTAGATGCTAAGAAGTCTCCTAGTCCAAAAGTCAAGTGAATTTATTTTTAATTTACTTGGACTTCTAAATGAATGTAAGCTGATCTTGTAAACATTTAAAAGTCACATCATGTATGTTATGCTGTGTTACATTAACAAGAGAAATATTATTATGGGTTGTATAGGTTCCTGACCTTTTCAAAATACATCATTCTCATAGGAAAGCATAGAACTGGCTTACCTGAGAAATGACCTTAACAAATACCTCCTGATCAGATTGGGCATGGATACATGGATCACAGTTTTATATTGCTAATTCTGGATATGCCTTATAAGTGTACAGAACACACAGTTATTTTTGTTTGATGGAACAACCTGAGGCTTGTGTTATGGTCCAAATCCATAGAGTAAGGTGATAAGGATCCTTAAAGTCTTGGTGAAATCTTTAATTGTCATCGGTGAATATCTATCTTGATAATCCTTCTTTAAACATACTGAAAGATGCACTCTTAAAGTCTTCCTTTCATCAAGTAGAGGGTTCTTCCTGACTGTGATATCTCACCATAATTATTTGCACTGTGGTTATATTAATTCTCTTCCTTGTCTGTTAGTTTTGTGTTTTTATAACATATTTTTTCTTCTTGCTGACAAGAGGCTTAAGCAAGACATGAAGAGCCTCCATTCATTTGCTCTCGAGCTTTCAAAAGACTTTCAGCGTCAATACAAGGCTTGTCTTTACCAAGTTTTGACAGCAGTCCAAGGGATACAGCTGCAAAATGAAGCAATGCAAAGTAAGGCTCTTACACGTACATTCCTGTCAATTAATACCAACAATTGTTAAATATCAGTAACACTGATAGATTGAGTTCAGTTCCAAGATACAAGCACTTCTTTCTGTTGGGTGTTAGATCATCTAGGAGTCCTGAGGTGTCAGAAAGAGTCAACCTGGATTTTCTCAGAGCTGATAATTTGATTTTAGCTCTTGTGTTGATTGCGGCTGATGCCAGACTGCAGAGCTGGCTTAGCTGTAACATCTTTATTCTGTAAGTCTCAGGCTTTTTGTTGTGACAATTTTAGAACAGCCCAATAAAGAATGTGTCACCTTAGCTGAAATTTGCCTAATTTGGGATATACCAGAAGAGGACTCAGGTGATTTCAGAGATTTCTGAAACACAAGGAATGCTGCTCCAGAATCCAGATCCTCATTCATGTGTATGTATAAACACACCCTGCAGGGCAGTGATTCTCACTGCTGTTGTCACTGAGGACCAAGTGCATTGGTCCTATATCTGGGTCTTTTGGTATGTACCTTTGCTCTGCCTTCCAATGTTATTGATTCTGATGGTGCTCCTGCCAGATGTGAGAAGAACATGACAAGTACCAACCTGATTGTGAAATAGGGCTTAAGTTGATGTTTGTGAGGCTGAAGAACTACAGGCAAGTACACAAATTTATAATCAGAGTCCCTGCGTGACTGATACCTATATATTACCACATAAAAATAGGTTATACAGCTGCTGTACTTTTTGTTTGAAATGATTTTGAGACAGGTTTGATTCTGTTGGGGCTACTCTTGTCAGTAACAATAAATAGCATGATCAGTGATGGATGTCTGCAGAACTTGTCTTTGTATATTATGCATAAACTTATGAGTAAAATGGTAATTTATTACTGTGTTATCTGTATAGAGAAAATACTTCAGAAAGTTTAAAATTGAAGAAAAAAATAAAGTAGAAAGTTAACTGAGGGTGAATTTTCCAATGTTCCCCTTATAAAAATTGGGGCCTAAAGGAGCAGATAAGAAGTCGGATTTGGCACTTGTGCTGATGTGGTGTACATAATTACTAAATATTCCTTATGAGGCCTTGCAAATTCCTGTTGGCTGAACCAACTTCATACCTTGTGAGGTATTTTTCTATGAATTCAGAACCAAGAGAAGCTTCATTTCATGTAGCAAAAGTGTGTGTTGGTACTTAGACGGGTGATGTTTTAAATGTGGCTGTTGTTCTGTTGTTTCTCAGTTGTTTTAGATGAAGATTCCATTACTGAGATTAAATACTGTGGTCAGAATTGCCAATCTGAAATTACATGTAATATTTCCTAAGCAGAAAGCCCAAAGTGTTTAATTCAGAGACAGCATCTGTTACCAGTTTAATCCTAAAATAGAGATTGAAAATGAGAGAATTATAGAAGAAACACTCAAGCAGGCTAATTTTGAAGTTGTAATGGGCATGCAGCAAACTGTAAATCTTCTATGTAATAGCTGAGTAGTGCCCTGCTTAGAAATATTTAGTCACATCTGAAAATAAGGCTATTGCCATCTTTCCCTATGAAATACATATGGAAGTAATTTGAAAAAGAGAGAAATGTCCTTTATTCTTTTATTATATGTAGGCCTTTTGCATGAGCTGCAATTGTAAAGCTTTTTTTGAAAAGTCACAGTTTTCAGTTAGTTCTGTAAAACAACTTCCTTCCAGTGTTTCAGATGAAGGCTTTTGATCTTGAGCAGTCCCTGCAAGAAGTGACAGAGAGATATGAGAGAGAAAAGCAGAAGCGGAGAGCTCTACATAACAGCTTAGTTGTAAGTACCTTGAAAGACAAAGCATCTTCTTATTTTGATTTAATTATATCCACAACTTCTTCACCAATGAAACTAACTAACATACTTCTCCCGGACGTACCACTCCCAGCCAGCATCTGTCTGCATGTGGTACATTCCTACACGTGTACATTACAATAACCCCAGGCCATTCTATATACGTAAGCATCCACGTGCATTCCTGGAGTATTTTGTCCTAAGGAGTGTCATCCATCTTGAATAGTGTGCAAAATTTGAGTTTCTTCATCCCATCTCTAATTGGAAAAAAACATTTCTCGTCTGGCAATTCCTCTACAATATGAAATTCCGGGTAAATCAATTCATGTTTGAGTACAAATGCTCCTTTGAAACTGTTTTGGAATTCTTAAAACGATCAACATGAAACTGCAGGATTATCTTCATTTTATTTTTCCAAGCGTAACTTGCTGTATCTGCTCAGGCATTAGTGATGGTTCATTTGGGATTGACTGTTTTGTTTTTTGTTCTTCAACTTCACTGCCTCCTCATCTCCCCAAAGGACTAATTAGGAGTTCAGGACCTCACTTTTAGAAGGACAGGCCACAATTCAAACAAAGTTCTTCTGATTTTTTTTTTCTGCCTGGGAAGAAGAAGCTCTTCATTGGAAAGCACTTACCTCCCAAAATCTTTCTTGTGCTGCAGTTTGCTGAGAGGATATTCCCCAAGGCAGTGTGGGGAGTGTTCATTGCTCATCACAGGCTACTTGCTTTCAGCAATACAAAATGAGAAGAAATGATCACAAACGAAAAGGAAAGAAAAGCACCAGGTTAGATGAGGAAAAGTCTAAAGCAGCCTGGAGAGAAAAATCAGTACTGGCTTTTCAGTCGTATGTGAACACAGAGTGAAGAGAAAAAAGAACAAAATGTTTTATATCCTATATCTCCCTTAGGGCTGCTGGAGGAGACGTGCAGTGTTTAATCTTGGCTGCTGTGTTAATGTAAGTTAAGCAGATCATGTGAAGAGGAAGGAGGGTGAAGAGGAGAAAATGGCTTTAACTGAAAGCATCTTTTGTTTTTTGTACAGACTGAAGAGGGCTACGCCATTTCAGAGTTCTGAACAGATTATGCTTCCTCAAATAAAGTTATGAAAAAGCAAACAATACTATTTTATCTCTGCAGAATCTAAGGCTGTGATGTTGCATGCAGTTGACTGCTTTCTTAAAAATACATAAGTTTTTGTATATGAGTGTGTTTGTTCCCTCCAGTATTTGATATTTTAAATCACATTAATGTTCTAATTCTAGGAGCTGAGAGGGAATATCAGAGTCCATTGCAGGATCCGACCAGCGCTGCCTTTTGATCATGCTGCTGGACATCCAATATCACAAGACAGGTAATTTGTTATGGCTGCATTGTGTCTGCTCTGACTCACAGTAAACGTGAAGAGAAAACAATAGCCAAACATATATGAGAACAATGGTGTCCTGTTTTGTTGTGTGTTTTTTTCTTTTTCTTTTCTGTTTTCATATGTGTGGGGATACTGTGACAGAATCATTAAAAAAAATACATATTCTTTCTTCTTTCTTCTGCTAACTTGGGATTAGCCAATCTTATCCCTTCGTCTAAAACTCTCCACCTGAATGTGAAGACGTAACAGTTGAACAATCCACGATTATCTGTGGTTTGGCAGAAGTAACACAGCTGTAGTCAATGTGGAGTACATTCACCATGCTGTACAAAGACTGGGATACAGTGATGTAATAGCAACTGTCAGAAATCGTCAGTAGAGAAATGCTCTCAGCATTGCTGGGTTTTCTTGTTTGTTTGTTTGTTTTTTATAATGCTACAGAATGGATTTGCTGTCAGCACAAACACTGGTGGTTCTATTTCAGTATAATTTGGCTCTGCATCCCTAATTTATAATACACTTAGTGTAACTGAATTGTCAACACCACTCAAGATCCAAAGGGAAAAGAGGGATTAAGTGCAAGTATGTGTCATAACAAGCTGAATTCTCCATAGATGACTAACACGAAAGAAGGTAGGGACTGAAACATACACAAACAGAGAAAGAAGGGGAAAACTAGGTGGGTGGCTAAAAAACAGAAATATTATCATCTGGCCTATCAGAACATGACTAATTTGGGAGTTTATTTTACTTTTTACTGATTTCTTTTTCTAAAAGACTACATACAGGGTTTTAATGTTTGTTCATATTTGGCAAATGTTTAGAAAAAATATTCAATTATTTTAATTAAAATTATGTAAAAATACCCGACAAGAAATTTCAAGGAGCCTAAAGGAGAAACCTGCATTAACCTGTACTCGATACAGATGGGGAAGAACCAATGCTCTGTTTTTATTGCCGTGTGGAATAGAGTAGTTAGGTGCCAACTCACAATGCACTTAAACGCACATAAAGCAGGGACAAACACAGAATTGTTAAGATGAACTTTTCTTAATATATAAAAAAAGAGATTTAATTAACGCTTACTTGTAAAACTAGGGACTGATTCTGAAAACACGTGCATGCACGAGTGCATCTACACACCTCACATTCCCAGCCATTAGCTTTTGACTAGTAATGGATACAGAATTGCTTCTGACTGCATTCGCAGGGTCAGGACCAATTACCTACAAAGAAGCTGTTCTACAGTTTAATGCACTAAAAAGGGAAAACCTCTTCCTACTATCTCATATTACCATCGCAAAACAATACAGTGGTTTGCATGTGAAATATTCTTAATTGCTTTTTTTAAGGAGATTATTTTGGTTGATTGAACTATCATGATTTACAATTAAGCATAGTTCTAGCCTGTTCATGGGTTACAGTAGTAATGGAATTATGAAAGGTGCTCCTTAGATAGATAACATGCCATTCATAGACATTTTGAGCCTTGACCTTCCTGAGCTAAATGGGACATTTAGGTTTGCAAGGCTTTTTGTTGTTGTTGTTGTTGTTGTTTTTACCCCTACTGATTTTTTTTTTTTTTTTTTTTTCTTGCAGGCACAGAAACTCTCTAGAAAATGTGGCATATGCCATTGATGATGTGAGTATATTTCATGGTGAAATTCAAGAATGCCCTTACTGATGCTTGTAAAGAGATACAAAAAGGATATGTAAACCAGAGGTATAAAAATTAATAGGGCAGGGTGGCTTTTGTTTCCCAGTTGGTGCCCAGCTTTGTTCTCACATGGTGCAAAAGCAGGTGATCTGTGCTGCTTTCATCCTGACTCTTTGTAGTAAGAATAGCTTGGAGTTTCTGCTGCTGCAAGAACCTGGGGCTTTGGTGTTTGCAGCAGTTAAACTGTTGCAGAATCCCCACAGTCAGTCCCTTTGAGCCACTTGCATTTATTCTAATTATTTCTAAATTATGGTAGGCCTTTCTCATTTTACTATTAGAGAACAACTAATGCATAAGCATGGAAATACGATATCTCAGCAACCACAGCAGCCTATGTGGTTCTGCAGTCAGGCATATGAAAGTCTTGGCTCGGATCCATTAGAGGAAGGAGAATGAGCATTGAGGTTGCAAATCCAGATGGTGTTACAGCATTAATTGTGGTCATTACCAAGATATAAAATTGGAGAAGACACAGTAGCGTGAGCTAAGGTCAAAGTATTAAATCAGGTTTTAATTTTCATAGACACCATAGTTCTTACACTGTTGCTATATGGTGATTAGCCAAATTCTCTTAGTAGAGAGCTTAAAATATTGCTGAAGTGACCTAAGGTGTGTTATGCATTTAAATCTCCCAAATTAGAGCTTCATTAAGCAGATCTTGGTTATATAAAGTGAACAATTAGAGAGATATATATGCAATTAGGGACTAATGGAGCATATGAAAAGTCAGCTAAGAATGTCAGGAGATAACCAACAGGGATCTGCAATATCAGATGTAGTATATCTGGATGCCACGATTCACTTATTGCACTATAAAATTACTCACCCATTTCTGACCTGTTATTGTATGAAGATGAAATTAAGTTATATTTGGATTGTTTCTATATAGATATAGATATCTCATATTTACTGCATTTGTATTTTGATAGACAAAGCAGTGTGTGTTTGCCTATGCCAACAGGCATACAGTTTTAGTTTGTATGAAACAGTGATCAGATACCCTTCAGTATGCTAACCTGTTATCATGTTTAAAGTCTGTATGAGATATTCTAGGAAAATAAGCATATGCATGGACGTAACTGTGAAATGAAATTTCCAAAACTATAGAATCTTTTAGGTTGAAAAAACCCTCTTTAAGATTTTCAAGTGTAAAGATACCATCTTCCTGACTTTGGAAAACGTAACACTGACTTGCAGTGCTTTATTGCTTTGCCTTGACATTGATTTATTTATATTATTAAGATGCTTTCTAGTTCTAACTGAGCACCTTATGTATTTGTATTAATTTCTTCATATATATATATGTGTATATATATATACGTATATATATATATATATATACATATATTAGAACTTTTTTAGTGTAAACTTGTGTGTGAGAATAAAGTACAATGGATTTTTTACAAAAAAAAAAAAACAAACCAACCAACCAACCAAAAAAAACCCAGCCACTTTAGGCTAATCTAACAGCAGTAAAGGAAAACAATATGTGTTGCCAATTTAATTTGCTTTTAACTGCTCTAGGTGCTGTGCTTGTGGCTAAGTTAAAGATGCAATTTTCAGATAAAATCATGAGGTTTCATTCATTCTAAATCTTCCAGCTGCAAAACACTCAAAGCTCGCATTTGTGGAAACGAGTTACCTATTTTCCAGAAGAGTATTTGTGATGTAGAGGAAGTTTTAGATGTATGTGAAGGAAGAGCCTTTGTAAGAAAGGTGCTAAGTTTATTCATTTTTCTATTTAAATTATGGCTGTTTTCCCCTCCACCTTTTTGGGGACAATGTTGTAATAGATCAGGTAGATACAGCATTAGTAGTTGGTTATATTATCACTCCCCAAGTGCTTATCACCACCCTTATCTACAGGTTTCTTCCCCGTTACTTTCCCTGTACAGGAAGCCCTTTAGGCTGTCCTTGTCTACCTCAGCGCTGTGTCTGCCTTGCAGTGGCGCTGCTGTAGAGTGATGTCCTTCAGAAGGAGGGCAATAGCCTCCAACAGATATGCAATAACAAGTGATGGGCAGTGATAATTATCACAGCTTGGTTTTGTGGCCATATGTCTATATCCACTCATTTAGATTTGCCTCATTTAAAATTATTGCTGTGCCTTACTGGTTTTCACTTACTGAAGAGTTCCCCAGGCTTGGGTGACAGGACAGCCTGTGAATGTTAATGAAATATTCATCTGTCATTTCAGTGGTTCATGTTGCCCTTAAAAAACTCGGGGCAGGAGTATTCTGTGGCTCTAAGATGGAAAGAATTGTTCTTCAGTGTTTGTGTGATAGAGCTGTGGATTTCATGCTCTACTGACAGGGAAAGCTGGTGAGGTTCCACAGCAGTTGCAGTGGATATGTTAGTCTGCAGTGATCTCCTGAGAAAGGAAGGGAATCATAAATGCTTATGTGAAACTTCTGCCACTTAACAATGATTTTGTTTCTGTATAATGCAAAAAAAAAAAATTTCTATCCCATTTCTAACATTTGTAGCAAAACCTTGTACTCATACCTGCCCTGTTGCTAAATTTGCCTACTGGAATGGATACATTAGTTCATGCTATAGCAAGTGTTGCCATCATTAGATTGATAATGATACACTTCTCCACAGAGAAAGACACACTTGTAACTTAGAAGAGAAGCAAATTGATTTTTGTTAGCCCCCTGCATGCAGGAGGCACTGTTATTCAGTCATTATTGGCTCAGCTCTTTACTACTTTACTCAGTGCCAATGCTATGTAGGTCACTCCAAAAGTAATGCCTCCTATTAATTTCCACCAAAAGTGCAACAGATACAAAGAGCACAATAACACTAGTTGCTAGAGCAAATTCTCTACGAAGCTACAAAGATTGTTGTTCAACAGTCACCACCATTAACTGTGCATTTTTGTTAGTGATGAACAAGAGCCTCCACAAAAATCTGCACCAGTGGAGATGACCCACTGTTTCTATGACCCACTGTTGTTCTGATGGCATTGTTGCTGAAATGCACCCCCCTCCACCTCACTGTGCTCACATCCACTGGTCTCCAGAAACACTCAGCAAGCGTCAGTGAATGTCAATGGGTGCCATTTTTTCTGCATGGAGGAATTCAGTGCCACACCTTTGCTTCATACGTGCTTCCATGTCAGACACCATTTTGTCAGACTGCCCCTCTTCTGCCATCCGTCACAGAGCAACAACATGTAATGGAATACTGATGGGAAGCTTCAATCTCTACTGCCATACCACCAACATCCACCTCTGATGTCATGGACTGACAAAATAAAATAGGAGACATTACTTTCAGAGCATCCATCCTGGTTTGAGGGATGAAAGTTTAACAGCCTGCTTGTTGGAAGAACAGTAAAAATTTCAGCACTTCCATCAAATGCTGTAACATAAGCACAAGTTAGTAAGCTAGGAAACCTCACTGAAAGAGATGAAGTATTTTATGTGCTGAAGAGATTCCAACTGAACTGTTGTAAGCACTCACACTTAATTCTTTACTTTTATCTACAGTTGAGCAAGATATGCCATGAGGAATTTGAAGGTCACACAATTTACTACTTACGGCATTCCAGACTTCTGTAATTTCTTTGCTAATCATTCAAAGAGCTGCTGACACATTTGTCCAGCTTACAAAACTGGTATGTAATCCATTTGGAAAGTGGATTCTACTAAAAAAAAAAACATGGAAATCTGGCAATTGTGTGACTTCAGTTCTTTCTCACAGTTGCAGAATAAAATGATATGCCAAGAAATTTGCATCTTCTGCCTCAATTCTAGGCACAAATATTTATGAAGACAATCTGATTAGAGTGGTGATTAGAGAGGTTGGATTTCTAGATGTCTGAGTTTTCTGGGCACGTAAGAAGCTTAGGTAATTGTTTGGATCTTTCTTATGAAATGTGCATATTTCGTGTTGGTTGTTTGTTAATCTGAATGTGTTCTAAGATCCTTACTTGTGGTCTTGCTAATTGACTGCAGTGCAGCAAATGTTTCTGTTTTATACACACGTTTGTGACATTAACTGTAAGTATTTTGTTCTTCTTGTAGGAAACTGTCCTTGTAAAGTGTAGCCGTCCCGGTCATGCACCAATAAACAAGACTTTTCAGTTTGAAAGGTGAGTAGACCCACGTAGCTGGAACATTTGTGTAGTGAAGGACAATTTTTGTAGCCACTAGTTGAAAGGAAATATTCTTTAAAAAATAAAAATAAAAATAAAATATAGGGAGAGAAAGAGAGAGAATAGTGGCATATTGAAAAAAGCTCCTCTGAGAGAATATCTGTGATGTGAGCACTTTCCTTGCAAGATGGCTGAAAACCCACATAAACAAATGTGAGAGATTTTGAATGCAGGAGTAGGAGAGAAGGGTTTTAGTTGGTCTTTCTGCCTTATTAGACTTATTAAACTTGATTGAAAGTCAAATGCATCCAACATGTATTGTATGGTCTAAATTAATGCTCAGAGCCAGTATCAGCTCAAACTGCTGTAGGTTGGCCTAATGCTGCCAGTAACTTGCTTTCTTTGAGGTGTCCTTCTAAGAAGCTGCCTTTTTTCTGCTCATGAAGCCTGAGGACTGCTGTTGTGTAGACTACCAAATGACTGAAAATTCTTGAGATAATGCAAATCTTGGGGAAGCTTTACTCACCTCAAAGGTTACAGGACTTCCTTGCCACAAGGCACATGCAACCTCTCACATGTTTGCGAAGTAATTCCTTTCACCCTCTCGCTGTGCCTAATGCAGACATACCAGTTGAAGTAAATGCAGAATAGTGCTGGAATTCAGTTCCACAGAGCAACACAGTTAATGGTGTTGACACTGGACTCCAGAGCTGCTGTGGCTCTGTACATGTGGTGCAGATCCTGATCATCAGGAAGCCAGTTAAAAAAAAAAAAGTAAATCCCCTAAAGAATGCTGTTCTTGGGGAATGTTTTTTCAGTGTCCCAGAACAGCTCTTTTTTATAAACAGAAGAGCATATGGTTCTTATGAACTCAAAAATGTTTATTTTTTTAGCAACATTTTATGGAACCAATAAATGTCAAAATATTTGATTTCAGCTCAGGAAGAAAATTCCAGCTTTCAGCATGTTATGCTTTTATAATTTTATTGGTGAATCAGTTAGCAAAATAAAAAGAAGCCTGGAATTTTCAAGGTGAAATTAACATCAATCATTACACAGGGGCAAATCTGTCATCATTCTGATAAAAATAAATGGGCTTATGGAAATAGATTCTCTGGATTTGCTGCATCTTTCCTGGTCTCAGATAGCTAATTGTCTTCCATGCCTTTAGCCACTCTGATTACAGTGTAGCATAAACCAGTTGAAGCCAAACTGAAAATACTTCATTTCAGCGTTGGTAGAATTCGAAGCACGGGAGTTAAGGAGAGGCAGTAAAAAAACCTTTAGGAAGTTGAGTAAATATTTGGAGTAATTATTGTAACATTGAACCCCATGCCTTTCCTCTGAACCACTACACCTACCTGAACCTGGCATAGTGAGCTACAGCTATGCTGATTTGTGGTGAAAGCACAGCCCTCTAAAACTGGCTGAGTTTAGCTTTAGCTGTGGCTGGTGACAACGTTTGCAAAGAGCCAAAGCCCTAAGTTGCAACTGAAGACAAATTTTTAATGTTCTTATCTCATAAATACCTTTTAAGTTTGGTGGCTTGGTTGTTGTTGTTTTTGTTTTTTAATGCAGTAGCTCTGAGGGAGATGTTTTGCTGTGTTAAGAAAAAGGTATCATTCCAACACAAATTGAATTACAGCCTGGGTTGGTTAAAATACAGGATTTGTGCTAATGAATATTTCATTGATTGCAGATGATAAATGAAGCAGAGAAAAGTGTCTGGAAGCGCTTTTGCTCTTGTACTGACCTTGAAGATGTTATGTGCAAAGCTTATAGAAACATATCCTTGTACGCATGCAAAGCAAGGATGGAGTATTGCTATTCAGTGTCTGTGTCCTCCCAGTAAGAACTGTGCCACCTCTCTGTGCGTTTGTTGGTTTCTCAGTTTAGCATGACAGCATGTCAGTGGAATGGCAAAACAAGCAGCATTTGTCCATCAAGCCAGAAAAGTGCTCATATCCTGATTAAAGAGAGTACGTTTTCATACAGCTTACAATTAGACTGTGGAACACATTGCCACAGGATGTTACTCCAGGCCAAGAATTCAGAAACATGAAAAAGAAACTGAATGCTAATGCTAATCATATTTGTTTTTTTTTGAAGCAAAGATTCAACTCATGTTTCAGCTTTGAGATCAGTTTGCAGCTCTATTATTAGGCAGAGATGAGTTACTCTGTGTCCCACCACCATAGTGTTTTTTACTTCTTCTTGCCATTGTCAGGAGCAAAATATTGAAGTGGTTTATGTCTAATTCTGCATCTGTTCATCAGCGATCCCTCTGTACAGTCATATTTATGGAGAACACAAATACAAAATCTATGTTTGTGCAGTCTATGGGCTGTAGTGATCAGATCCTGGTCTACATACAAAGAGCACTTTGAATAAATGCTAAAGAGCCAACCATGTTCACCATTCAGTTAAACTTCTAGCGTCATGTATTAGAGCCAAGGGTACCAGTATACTATAGACACAGGAAAGTAACTATACTTTGTAATCTTTGCTGCTACCAAAATTCCTGTTATTTATTTGGCTGTAACAAATAAAAAGCACACACCACTGACTGGAAAACAGAGTTTAACAGAAAACAACAAGAAAAACATGGCAACAGAAAGACAGCAGAAGAGGAAGTTTTTTCCAAAGAAAAAGATTCATACCTCAAATTTGTAAGTGTTGGCTATGATACTCATGTTGCAGATTTGCACCATCTTCTATAAGCCGCATTTGTTGGTGACTGTGTTCTTGTGGAGGATACTTTTTTTGTATGCTAGAGAAGCAATGAATGAATTAGGATGCCTATGTTTTATAATCATCATTTCTTCCTTTTAATGATTTCTTATCTTCAGGTATTGAGGTTTATGTCTGAGAAAGTTGGAGGAAAATTTTCTTTGAAGAGCCCTGTGTTGCCTTCTTTGTTTTTTGAATGTGAAAAAATTTTTGCAGTGGTTTTACACCTTATTGTTTTGGCCCACAACTTATATTGGCATTGCTCTTTTTCTAATAACTTAATCCATTTAATTGTCTTTCTTTCACTTTAAAACTTACTTGGAAGTATGCATCATGACTCCAAAAAAGCAGGAGAGATCCTTGGAGTTCTAATTTACAGTCTGCTGGACTGCAACACAAAAGAAAAACAACCAAAAATCTTCTTTGGTGAATTCTGACCTCTCTCCTGCTTCAAGATTCTCTTCTGTAACGTGCCAGAGGTACATCACACATTCCTAATCAACCTCTGGGACATGTTAATGCATCACTTTTTTTTCCCTCTAGCCAATTGAACAAAGTAGTGGCTTCCAAGGACGCTCAACTCTTCCTCATCACCTTTTGATTTCCTGCCATAGGAAGTCAGGTTTAGAGCAGCAGTGAGTAGTGCTGGTCTGCCAGCTTCATATTGCCAAGCTAAATAGTTTTTTGTTTTTTTTTTAACTCAATCTGTAAGTGCTACTGTCACAGAAATGTCAGCAGGGCACAAGCTTTATATCATAGGCCTACATTTTCCTTTGTTTGTGCTCCTCAATTATGCCAATGTACGTACCTACATCTTTTCTTCACTGCACTTTGCTCCTCAGGGTTTACGGTGTTACTGAGACTCAAGACACAGTGTTTGCAGACGTGGCCCCTTTGCTAACATCTCTCTTGGACGGGTAAGTTAAAAGGTGGGAGTAAAAAAGCTAAATGGCAATTCTCTACTGAAATTCATCCCTCAAGAAGGGTTACTTAACAGAGGCTGTCCTGCTGTGTTCTAAAGCTTTTCAGCTCAGTTTTCTTGTTTTCTTTCTAATGAACACTGAGTGAAAATTGTTTCCCTATATAAAAAGAGAAAAAAGTGTCTACAAAAAGTAGCATGACAGACAAATTTGGGGGAAAAAAAATATATAGTTTTTCCCTCTCCTTTCTGGCAAATTTAAGCATTGCTTCTGATGGAGGATGCCATCTTTTTTTCTTTGCTGTGATCTGGTAGAACACTGAAGTTTCCAAGTCACTTTTTCTTCCTGGTAGTTAAAAGCAGCCCAGAAAAGACCTATCAGGGTGCTTTAAATATTGTGAAACCCCAGGCAACCATTCATACATGCCACAATAGGACCTAAGGGCTGTTTGGGGGCAAGAAGACACCTATTTGGCCCATAAGGCACTATTCTATTTTATCTATTTTATCCATATATATTTTATAGTGTGGACGACCACAGTTGAGCAACCTTGGGATCACTAGGTTGGAGGAGTTTGGAAAAGTCCATATAACCACTGTTTTTATCTCTCTAATTTTTCCTTTTGCAGTGAATGTAAGTTTGTTTTGGCTCAGTGCATTGCCTACATGTATTTGGACATATCTAAAAATACCTTGATCTGCTCTACTTGCCACTTTCTAATTTGCACAATGAAAGGATTCCATCCTAAAGTTGGGAATTTTATATTCACTTAGGAAATGTTCTGTTATTGAGAACAAAAAACTATCTTGTTCTTCTAGAAGGGGCATTTAAACAGAAGCAGGTTTTCGGAGGACAGACTGCATACTAGCCATGTTTCTGAGCAGCATTCCCATTGTAAATGTGAAACAAACTCTCACTTGGTTGGAACCTTGAACCTTTTTTGCTGCTCCAAAGTGGACTGAAATAACTTTAAGCTTAAGTAGGAAGGAGCAGTCCACTCCTTTTCTTTATTTTTCTTTTCTTTTTATTTTTTTAATGACTTGTTTCTTTTTCTTTTTCTTTTTTTTTAGTATAAATATCCAGGGAGAAGAGATCATTCCATATGCAAAGCAGATAAAGTACATCAAGCTTCTGAGTTTTCAGTTAGCAATACAGGGCCAGCAAGGAACTAAGATAACATTTTCTCTTGTTTCATAACATTGAAGATTCAACCTTATTTATTTTAAGGAAGGATAAATTTCTCCTTTAATTTCCATTAATAGTGATAACTTTCCTCCTAGGGATAACTTTCCAGTTTTGAACAGCCCTACTCTTTTCAGGAGAGCAGTATTGTGAAAGTGTTGGTAATCTAATTTGACAAGAAGATCTTTTCTAAACAATAATATAACTAATGAAGTAGTGTGGAAAAAGGGAAATGTTGGGGGTACATAGGAGAATCATAAACAGAAAATCTCAAATTAGAAGCCTGAGGTTAGAAGCGGCTTCATGCTCTGTTTGAAATGGTTATGTTGGGAACAGAACATCAACAAAGTGAACTAAATAAATGTAAATTAGTCTTCTTTTGCTGCTTGTCCTCATGTTGAATCACCCAACAATTCATTCTCTCTTGTGTCTTCTTCAGATATAATACAGGTCTGGATAGTTTCAGTTCCTTTGGACTTACCAAAATACCATTTTGACTTTGGCAGAGAGATTGTCACTGGCTTTATTAATTATTTGTATCTTTACAATTACTAGCACCAGACTACTTAGCTTATGATCATATCACCTGTATCTCGTCAGAACCATTTCGACTAACACAAACTGTGAAGGGGAATTTAAGTATCTGCACTATATGGAAGTCGAAAGACTTCTGAGAAGACTTCCATTTTCTTTTTCCTATGGACAAAAGCCACTTGCAGACTTCTGGCTCCCTTTTTGGTTCCAGAGATCTCTCTTTGATTTTGAAGAGGCACTGGAAGGCTCAGGGAGCTAAGACTTGGCCAGGCAGTGTGCACTACGGAGCTGAACTATGAAAATCACTCATTCTTAGTCTAGCTGAAGTCTATCAAAATTGTTGGAATTTTTTCCATTGTCATAAATGCAAGCAGAATTAGGTCTAAAATGAATACTTAGGGATATCCGTTCTTTCAGATTTACAGTTCCAATTTGTAACACATTTTGCTCTTTATTTTCAGTTACAGTTCTCTCCTTTACTTTGTCATATCAGTGTCTAGACTTCCAGTTTATACTCTTTGCATCCTAAAGATTAGGGGAAACTTAATCATAGGTTCACTGACTGCAGCTTTGTCTCCACATTCCCAGCAGAGATATGAAGGAATTTGTTGCGTTGCCTACATTGCTTTCTAACAAAATAAGGCCTTATTAGTAATCCTCTAAAAGAATTGCTTCTAGATATGTTTAATATGAAAAAAAAACAAAAAACACCACAGCCAAACAAACAAAAAAAAGAAACCCTGCAAATATATTTCTCTGCAGTGGTAATATAAGGATTTGATGACCAAAAACCATACATCTAAAACAATTAGATGAGGGGTATTCATTGAAATTTGCTGGCATGTATTTGAAATAATATTTTTTGATACGAGGAAAAGCATCAGATAACCAAAAGCAGCTGTTCAGGTCTGCCACAGAGGAGCTAGAGCTTAAGCAGTAAAATTATGTTCTTTTCCAAGGAAGAAGCAAACCTATTTTTGCAGCTCTGGCAGAGGAGAAAATCCAGCATACTGCAGAGCACTTCCAGTGCATGGAGTCTTCTGAAGTTATGTCTCTGAACAAATAAGAAAGATAAATAGATGTCCATTTTCACCTTCTATAGGTCCATAATGTAGCAGTTCCTCTCACCATTACTCCAGAGTAGCCTCTATATTTATGCTTCTATGGAAACTTATCCAATGCCTTTGGCTTAAGATTTTTGCTTTTTATTGCTAGAGCTGTCTAACCTTTTCCAGTGGCTGAGGGCTCTGACTGAGGACTTCATCTGAAAAGACTGTGAGAGCTGAAGAGTTTACTGCTCCCAGCTGTTAAGATGTTTGTGCTGCAGTCTGCAGCATAGCATGTCAGACAAATCAAATGCAGCAGTGGTTTACTTTAAAATGCTGTACTGTAAACAGGAGTGGTTCAGGAGCTGATTAACAAGCAGCTCAGCAGTACATGAACTGGAAGTTGGACAGACAGGAGATTTAACCTCATCAATCACTCCCAGCTAAGCATCCCTGTCTTTGTCAGTTACTTGCCCTTCAAATTTGGTTAAAAAATAAAACCTGTATAACAGTTGTTATGAGCAGTACTTTAATTTGTCAGATTCTGAGAGCTCCAGAAAGAAAGCTACAGGTGTGGCATATATTTATCCTTTCAATTAGTGTTCCCAAGTTGTTAGACTCTAAACTTGGTACCTTTCCCAGTTTTGATAATGGTAAAATTAATGAAGGCCCTTTTGAATTTCAGGTACAATGTCTGTATAATGGCTTATGGGCAGACTGGAAGTGGGAAAACATACACAATGTTGGGACCGCAGTTAGAAAAGAACCTTACGTTTGTGGATGAAGATGAATCGGAGCTTGGAATTATTCCTCGTGCTACCCAGGAACTGTTCAGGTAATACTGATCTGATAATATCAACCTAAGCAATGGATGCTTACAGACTTTTCACCTTAAACTTTACAGAAAGGATGAAATGTTTGTAATGTATTTATTGTTACAGCTTTTAGCTTCACAGTTACTGTTCCTAGTATTTCTGGCTGCCATTTTGTATTTGAGATCTGACACTGATTTCTAACCTCTAGCTTAGCCTGTTTTAAGACCATGCAATTTCACTGTGTACATATGTCCGGCTTTCAGATTCCTATGACTTTTCAATATATTTCAATTATAGTAGCACAAACTGAAAAGAAATTAAAAGAAGTCCTTACCAGTTCTGTGAAATGGACAGTTGAAATAGGTGAAAAGGATCTAGACTAGAGCTCAGTCCTGAACAAATGATAATTACATTTTAAACCATGATCTGTTTTCACTTTGAGAATGCTTCTCACCTAGATTTTTTTAGATGAACCTCATGTGTGATATGAACTGATGTTGTAATAGAAGAGCCCTTTGGTTTTTATTCAGCTACGCTGATTTATTTTGGAAAAAGGTGTAAGCTAAATTGAAAGAGCCGGTTTTGTATCAGAATAATGGTGTTTAGCTGGTAGTATGGAATCTCTTATCTGTTAATTGCTTGCACTCTGGCAGAGTTATCATATCTTGAGCTCTAAACGCAGTCACCTTCAGCAGAGAAATAGCATGAAAAAACCTTGAGGAGGGAGTGGGATTAGAGGAGAAAAAAAATTGAAGCTGGCAATGCTGTTTGGAAAATGAATGTTTTGATTCTTCAGCTTAACATTAGCATCTGGGTGAGGCAAAGTTCTGATTGTTGATAATTAATAAGCAGTTTTATCAGAACGTCGATTAGATTACAATTAAAGAACAATTCTATTTTTACTGATTGTTCACTTGAGGTTTGATTTCAGCCTTTTCTGGTTTCATTCATTCGCTTTATTCTACTTTTATTCTCCAGACTTATTTCAGAAAAGCCACCAGAAAGTTACTGGGTTGAGGTTTCTGTTGTAGAAGTGTATAATAATGAAATTTTTGATCTTCTGGCCAAAGACAGTTGTGGAAAAGTATTTGGCATCAAACGTGACGTTGTCACAACCAGAGAAGGAAAGAGTGATGTTCCATTGCTTACATATGAGTGAGTACACAATTTCATCCTTATCATCCAATCATGACTGAATGTTAACATGATGCCTAGCTCTCCATAATTCCACTACAGACATCAGAATTTGCTTCGAAACTGTGAGTCCTTAGCATATGCAAAAGAAAATATTGGATGCTTCCTTCTGCTTCCATTACCTCAGTCAATTAGGCTGCAAATGTCAAAATACTTTCAGCATTAACAATACAATTATTTTTGGTTAAAATTCTGCATTAGCAACTTTGATTCTTATTTACTCATCGCAATGGCAAAGGGAGACCTAAAGAAATTAAGGCTGAAGTTGTACTTACTTTGATTTTTTCTTGCATGTATGTCCTGAGTATTACAAAACTTTGTTCTAGTGCACACGGGAATAATTTTGGATGTTACATTCACGTAGTGTTCAAAGTAAATTCTTCTTAAACATAAAACCCCTTGGCTAATTAGATGACAAAAATATTGTGCTTATATCAATTTCTGCATTAACAAGAGTGAGTCTGTTTCAGATATTTTAGTAATAGATGTTTTGCTTATGTTGGTATTAAGTCAACATTAATGCTGCAGCATTAATTAATGCATTAATGAAGTCAGCACTTGTGGCACTGTCCAGTGGAATTAAGCTATTGGCCTGCTCTCTGTGAGTACTTAGAATGTGAACAGATCCCAAAAATGCACATTTCTGCTTGTGCACAACAGGGAGACGCAGAAACTTAGAAAAAATATTCCATTCTTTTGATAGATAAATAAATAAGTTTGTGAAAAGAAAAAACTCGCCCTAGTGACATGTTAAGTGCAGTATGAGAGTGTTTTATGTTTCTGGGGGAAGAATGATGTTTTTCTGCACTTCTCTATCAAGATGCTTGTCACAATCTAAACTATACTTTTCCTTGTCTCTGTGTTAAAACAAAATGCATCTTCAGTAGGAAGGCAGCACTTTTATCTCGTGGGACACAATCACATAAGCAGTGATTGTTCACGTGAGTTCACACTGTTCTCTAAAAGCCTTGATAAAAATACAACAATGTTCTGGTGGGTCACGCAGACATACTTCTGTCCTACCTAGTGATATGCACTGCATTTTCTGGCCATTGAGCTGCTCATAGAAAATTGAATGCCAGAGAAGTCAAAATGCCTTTCTTCACCCTGGGAACTATATAAATCTCCTTTCTTTCTATGAAATAATAATCACTGTAATACTGTTGGAGAGTTTAACATTTTTCTCTGGGGTATGTCTGCTCTTCTTGAGGTTAAATATGATTTCCAGACAAATTCTGCACCCTTGATTACACTCTGTACGCTTCATAAGAGCATGGTATGAATTAAAAATGAACGGAGCTTGAAGTGATGAATCCTCTTGCCATCTCTTTGTATTATGCTGCATGGTGGGTTTTTCTAGGTTTGTGTTCTTGGATTTCCCCAGCTGTGGCTCTCCTCCAACTCTTAGCATCTGGTTAAGTCTCTGTCAGTAAAAAGAAAAACTCCTTCAGAAATGAGTGGTATGGAGCCTAACCTGTTTGTGCTGAATCTTTCTTGAAGAAGCTGATCTCCTTCTTTTGTCTAGAGAAGAAAAGAACAGTGTGACTCAGAAAAAAAAACAAAAAATAAAAAACAAAAAAAACCACGTTAACATACTGTGGTATTGTAGAAATTAACTTTTTAATAATTCTTAGTTATTGTATTTCAGTAATTAAGATGAAGTTCTGGATTAATTCCTAAAGAAAGCCTACGCGCTTTCCCCATGGAGATTTTTATAGTGTGCAAGTGACCCTTCTCTTTTCCTGGGCTTTGGAGAAGGGAGAGGTGAGGCATAGCTGGACTTGTGCCGCAGAGAAAGAAATTAGAATCTGCAGTAAGATTTCGTTTGTATTTCTAGTTCATAAAATTGATGCAGTATTTATCTCTCTCCATTTTAATTTATGGTAACGGAACCAGATGCCTGTAGCTAACCACCTCTTAAAAACATAATCAATAAATACTCTGTTAGAAAGCAAATATAAATTAGAATATGGGCTTGCATCTCAATTACAATGCAAGCAGCAAAGAAGTCCAATTCATAAACAAGCTATATTAATAATTACACAGAAAGGTTAATAAGAAAGAGCAAATCCAAACAAAAGGAACCACTGTATGAAGCCACCCAGCTGCCTGAAATCTAAAATAAACAGCTGATGCTTTGAATAAAAACACATCCTCATTTGTGATATTTCATCTAGAATATAGTGGCCTGCTGGATCTCACTGACTTACCATTAAAAAACAGTAGTTTCTTTCCTGCTAACATGTACATCCCCCTGCATCACAAAAACCTCAGTCTTTTTCTTCTTTTATGACTTAGTTGACTTTGGAGAATGCTCAGCATCAAATTTTTAACCTAACCATACTGGGGTTTCTCTTTGTAGAACGTGGTCCTGGCACGCATGGTACGTACAGCCCAGTAAGGCAGGAGAGGCTATTACCCTCAGTCCTGCTGAGAAGCTACCACCACTGCAAGCATGCAGCACTGTGCTGGGGATGTTCTTTACCTCCAAAGTCAACTGCAGCAGCCTAGTAGGTGACCAGCACTAACTGCATGCCCTGAGGCTTATCTTTTGCAAACTCCAGTTAAAGCACAGCAGTCCATTGCCTGAAGTCTGTTGCAGTCATTTAGCTCCTGCAGCCATGTTTTGGAGTGTAACTGAGCTACACAGGGAACTGCTTTTAAGTGGCTGCTTCTCTTTAAGTGTGTATAGGTACGGTGAAGCCAGGTGTTTTTCTCTTCTTCAGATGCCTTTGGTACAGCTCTTTGCTTTCTCTGTACTCTTCCAGTATGGCTCTTCATAGCATGAACTGTATTTGTGCCTAGTATGTTTTTTGCTGAAATCAGACAAATCTAAGGCAAGATGGCCTTGTCTTTTATCATATGCTCGCTTTTGCTGACTGCAGTGATACGGAACCAAGACTGTAGTGGGCAGTCTGTCACAAAGGGATTTAGGGATTCTGCTTTATTACAAGACTTTCAGTAACCAGGCTGGTATATGCAGCCATAATAATTTATATCCCCATTAAGAAACTAATGCTTAGGTGACAAAACTGGAGTGATTATTAAAGAAGGCAGTGACATGAAAGGAGAATAAAGGCAAATCTTGCATCATTTGTTTTTAACACTGCAAGCCTAGGAAAAATCATGGTGTTTTACTTAACCAATTGATTTCTTTGTCAGATTTTCTCCCCTCCAATAGGTTATATAAGCAGTATATCTTTCAACTGGAAAAGAAAACTGATAGCATAAGATAAAATTGTCTATAAAAACTTACACTTGACCGTTCTGACACTACTGAGTTCTACTGTTTGGCAAATAGCAACTCCAGCATTTTATCAAGGATTCTGGATTTAATTCCAAGCATGAGCTGCAGTTTCCAAAGGTTCATAATTATTTTTTTCCCACTTAATGCTCTGCCTCCAAAAAGAAGCAGAAGCTACCTTAACATCAATTCCACATCTGTAAAACCAAAGATGCCAGAAATATGTAAATCTGTCTTTCCATTTTTTTTTTCCCCCAGAGTGTGAAGAAGTAGAAATTTCAGTCACCCCCTAAAGCTGAGATACTGTATTTAAAAGACCTACAAGGTTGGCAGGATGCTTTCTTCTTCCTCAGCACTTCTGTTGCTAGATAACTCCTTATGAAAAAAGCCTATACAACAGCTCAAAACTGAGATTAGTTTTAAGAGGTAGAGTTAAGAATAGCACAGGGAGTTAGAAGACCAAGGAAGTGTAAAAGCTGAAATTCACATCTGAGCTGCCCGCTTTCTCATGTAATTTTTACTGTGAATCAGTTAAACCTTCTGCTTGTTTGTTTACTTCCCAGGACTGTTGCAAATGCATCTGAATTTTTGCACCTGGTTCTCAGAGGCCTACAGCTAAGAGTCAGGCACCCAACACTGGTGCATGCTCATTCCTCTCGTTCCCATCTGGTGGTTACGTTGACCATAACCACAATTGTCTCTGGAGATAATTTTGGTAAGTAATACTAAAATACACCAGTTGTTTCTGAAAAACATTCTCTAGCCTGTGAGGCTTTCATATTGCTCTTTCTTCCTTTTCTCAGTGCTTAATACATTCTCTCAGTTATTTTTCTTTAACTTCTAAATGCTATCTTAAAAAAATGACTGGTTTGATTTCTCACTGCTAAGGATTTTCTTAGAGGCTTTCATAGAAAGCTCTCACTTCACATCTCTTGACTTACAGAGTCTTTGGCATTTTATAGCATGAAATGGCTAATAAAGTAAATTTTATCAGTAAGATAAATACTCAAATAGAGTAGTTAAATCAGTTTGTATGATGTATCATTTAATTATTCCTCATAAATTTAAGATAAATCTAACCATATCTTTTAGGGGTCAGCGTAAACTGTCAGTGGGAAATTTTATTATTTTTTTTTTTTTTACCTGCTGCCTTGCAAAAAAGTCCCTTCCATTCAGAATGTCTTAAACTGTTAACAATAGGTCACTGTAGGAATAGACAACATAGTCATAGTATGACTAGTATGACTAGATGACTTAGTCATCTAATCCTGTACTTCTACTTTTCATTACCACACCAAGACTTACCAGTTTGTTGCTTTAGGAATAACTTTGGCTTTTGAGGGTTAACTTTGTTTTCTTTTGCTTATGTTGTAATTAGACTCTCTGTTTCCAGTGCCGTGGTCTGTCTCCTTCATACTCTCAAACAACAGTATGGTTCAAGAAAGTGGAAAATATTTAACATTTTTTCCCCTAGATTGCTATCGGAAATTAAACCGACAATATTAGCAAAACAGAACAAACAGTGCCCTCACTTACCTGCTGCCCTTGCCAAAAGACACAGTTGCTTCACATGTTGCAGTTTTAACATTCCAGATGTTAGCTCTAGCCAGTTCCAGATTCTTGTCAATCAGGCAGATGTTACTTCTCAAAGCACAGTGTTTGCAGTGTAGCACAACAGCCGTCTTGTCTAGTCCAGGCTTCCCTTTGCCATTTCTACATTCAACACTATGACACCATATTGTCTGGCAACAGAAGACTACAGATATGTCTAATTTATGGTGAATGCAGATGGAGGTGAGAAATAGAGAAAAAAGCAGCACTGCAAATGGGATCTCACTTGTAGCAGTGTGTAATATTTACAGTGACCAATTCTGGATCTAGGTGTAACTGTCATATCTCAAAAGTGGAGATCTAAAATCACTAAATATAATGTTTTAAAGCCTGTGACTAGTTGTGCACAGAAAACTACAGATGATTAATAGTTTTGTTGCAAATCTTCTAGCACTATGTTTCAGAAATGTCTATTGTTTGAGGAGAGCAGTTACTTTGCTTCTTCATCTCAGACTAAGGATAAAGAACATCTATTTTTTAATTACACTGTCTGTCTCTGCAACCCAGTTCAGTCTGCTCTTTACTGAAGTTTTGCAGCTGTAAACTTCGTATTATTGCAAGTAGACTCTTAAGTCCTCTGGATGGATTCTCCTGTCTCTGTTACTTTTAACAGACTGTGCGCCAGAAGGCCCTAAGCCCTGTCTTTACATCCTGCTAAGGACACAACCAAAGAGGCAGGATGAACCTTTTCCCTTTTTCTTCTTTTACTTCAGAACACCATCAGAGAGTGTATCAAATGCTTAGAAATAAGGCTTTAGAGCTTATTGCTCCCAAATATCAAATAAGACAAGAAAAAGTACCTCTTAATGTCTTTAGTGTATTCCTGTGTCTCGTCTCCCACACTGAAGTGTGAGTGATGGGGATGTTACATACAGTACAATCTATAACAAGCCTTCTTACCAAAAGGCATGATGGTTTTGATAAGGAAAGCCTTAAACAAGACTGAAAAAGTCATACAGCCAGTCCATGCCATTGATTCTGGCTCATACAACATTTCAGTTAGAACAGCCTGAAAAAGCAAATATTGTAGTCCCCATTGATAACCAATTTCCAGTGCCAGTGAGAAGCTGGAGATTCAGTGGTTTTTTTTTTTAGTTTTTTAGGTTTGTTTTAATTTTTATTTTTTGTCCTCCAATCAAACAGGTACTTCATGTGAAGATGAACAAATCAATCAAAGACTGAATAAAGAGGTTTCCTGCACCTATTCACAAAAAAGAGACAGTAAATCTACCTCTTCTTCCAGAGCCTCTTCACCAGCACAACTTGAAGCAGCTGAGAAACTGAAGCAAGTCAAAACTAGGCTGCAGCTGGTAGATCTGGCTGGCAGTGAATGTGTAGGTAAGCAAACATGTCTGTTTATGACAAAGCTGTTAGAAATGGTGGGCATGGATCCTCCCAGATCTGAATTAAAACATTTCTCTTTAGCATTTTATGTATGTAGGGATACGTGCTACCCTGCTTTCACACAACAGATCCTGGCATAAAAGAAACACTGACAGCTGATTGTTCCAGTTTGAGGCTGGTATGGTTTTAACTGAAAAAGCCAATTGTATGCCTGAAAGAAACCCAGGGCATTTACCCCATCATGGGTGTATTATTGGTTCAGACTAGTTTTATTAGGCCCACTTTTCTATGCTGAAAATTACCAGGCCTTTGTACAGAAATGTTTAAAGTGCATAAATTATTTAAATACTACATTTCCGCAATAATTGATATCACTATTTTTCTGACTTACTGCGGAGAAAGTCTTGAAGGAAGTTAGTACAGAAAAGAAAATATTGTGTTTGTTGTTTCTTTAAAACGTTTTCTTCCTCCTCCCCTCTTTTACACACACAATAATTTCAGAAACTTGATTATTTCCTAAAGGGCAAGATTGCTTACCAAGAAAAGCCATGCAGCCAAATGTACCATTCCAGAAATAATGTTTTGATAACTGAACCAGTATTATGAAAGAGTCCTTTACATTACTGCCAAGAATTCTTGCTGTTCTTCACTGTTAAACTTTTGTTCTACAGAAAAGCCTAATATAATACAATACTTTTTTCATCTGCTCTGAGCACTGGAAATTGTTTGGTAAACATGTAATTGAGCAATACTGAGGGGGTTTGCTCTCTCAGTTCAACCAGGACAAACATTTACTTGGTTTAGGGCTCTGCAGGCTCACTTACACATCCGTATTAGATGTGGCCCAGCACATGTGGTAGACTAACCTCTGCCATTTGTCTGCATTGGTGGAGACTTGAAAATGCTGGACTTACTCTGATGAAAGGGAGGGACAGCTAACAACTCATAATTGTTTCAAAATGTAGACAAATAAGTGAGCAGAAGTACAGCAAACATCACACACACTGAAGCAACTGACCTTGCTAGCTCTATAGCCATCCTGGGTCATTTACCTGAGTTACAAGACAAACGATCCATTTTTTAGCAAGCTCAGGTTCAGTTTGAGAACAGATACACATTTTATGGATGTTCAGCTGACCAAACACAGATCTTAGTAGTTTAAACTCTAGCCTCTTAGCAGTTTCCTATTTCAGAGTGATATCTACTGATTTAAGAGTCCCTCTTTAGCTTAGGAATTGCTGTAGAAACAGACCCAGTTAAAGCAGGTCTGAAACATTCTTTCTTTCATTGTCTACCCATGGCAGGGTTTTCCAAGCTGTTTTGCTCTGTTGAGGTTGCAGCACTTTCTAAAATTAATGCAACATAGTGTGTAGACAGCCTCCTTGCTTGAGGTCCACATAGTTAGTTACATTCCAGCACGGTATAAGAGCATCAACCTGCTACAACAAATCTTACCATAAAGAACAGCATCTTACAGACCTACATAACCTCTCGAGCTACTACTCAACTCTGTTTCTGCAGCTTATGCTATCTGTGTCACTCTTGTTCCTCACAAGCAATACAGACTGGGCAGCTGTTACAAAAATGGTGGAACACAAAAGTCTTCTCTCCCAAGACACCGTGGACTGGTGTTTTGAAAGCCGGTGTTGTCTCATCTGATCTTTTGTTCTTCCTACTTCCTCAGTTTCCTATTCATGAAATATGTGGAGCCAAGGTGCATTGTACAATTAAAGAGACCAACTTCAACAGGAGATTCTATGGAGGTTCAAGCATTAAACCTTCTTTGACCATTCTCCAAAAGAATACAAATGCTGACCAATGTGTTGGCAGTCTGGGGTAAACAACCACTGCATCTTGCTTTTGGCATAGGTGGACTGAAAGGCAGAGTTTGCATTTTGAAAGCATTGTGTCAGAAGCAGACGTTACGACAACAGAATTTCTCACACGTTACATTTAAAGCATGTTTACTTACTTTTACCATTGCCTTTTCTGCACTGTATTAGGTATGTCTGGAGTGACAGGTGCAGCACTGAGAGAAACATCCTTCATCAACCGCAGCTTGTCTGCCCTAGCAGATGTCCTCGCAGCAATAGCAGAACAGCGATCTCACGTACCGTACCGAAACAGCAAACTTACACATCTCCTCCAGGATTCTGTAGGTGAGGGACTATTCTGACTTTTGTTTAATAATGGAGGTTTCATCTCCCAATATTTTCCCCTTCTTTGCTGTGGAAAACAGGAGGATGATCCCATGCTGACACTCCTCTGTACCCCTGGCTTACAAGCTCTGGCTTCAGAGCAGCTTGAGTGCACTGCTGCTTTCCAGGGTTAAGAAGTATACTTGGAATAGTCACATCTCTAATAGGATAGCAAAGGGTAATGATTGCATCTCACTGGCATTTCATGCTATATACACTCTCAAGATAACTAATCTTCTACAGCGTTATCATGTAATTGCACATTCTGCACTGTAGCAGAAAGATCAAAGAGGAAGACTCCAGAACATATGCCTGGTGCTATACTACAACTTCTTTTATACTCACCTCTACTTTTCTAGCTTCTCATCTGTGCAGAAATGGTTTTAGGGCAAATGTAATTTCTGCAGTACAGTCAGAATAGTATCAATCCACGCAGTAGTCCACTTTTCTTCAGCCAGAAAGCATCAGCCCATATGCTTTCAGTCTCCAGCTTACAGTGACTGAAGTAACAGTTTTTTGGATCTGCTGAAAGACTATCTACTTTTGCATGAACCTCTATTTTTCCCTTATTGCTGTGGTCTATGCTGTGAAAGGGGAAAGCCAAAGAAACAAGTCTAGGAGCTAAGCTGTATGGGCACTGAGCCTGGTTTTAACTATGTCTTGCGTATGGCCTGGTGACACTGTTTAAATGAAATCCTGAAAGTGGGGCTTTCCTTGTTTGTTTACTCAGTCTCTGAACTTTTAATAAATGTGTTTTGCATTACTGTTGTGTATGAGGCAAGCAAATGTCACACAGAGGAGACTGAATTTTCTAGAATTTGACAAAGTGTCGAGATCCATAACTACATGCAGGCTAACTGGTGAGGTTATAAGGGAGAAGAAATATACATTACAAATTAGGAAATGTTTATTCTACTGGAACAAACATCATATTGTTAGATACAGGCTTCCTTTTAAGGACTTGCCTGTTTCCAACAGCCCTCTTCATGTCTTCTGTCTTGTGCAAGTGCAGTACATGCCAGTTGCTGTGTAGATTAGTACGTAGCAGTGCTTAATTTACTGAAAGAAAATAATGAAACAAATGACCATATTCTGTCTTTTTCTTGCTTCTAGGAGGTGATGCTAAACTGCTGGTGATGCTGTGCATCTCTCCCAGTCAGAAGTACTTAACAGAATCAATGCAGTCTTTGGGATTTGGAACTCGTGCTCGGCAAGTTCAGAGAGGACAAATCAAGAAAAGAAATCTCCCTGTGCTGAGTAAAACAAAATAAAACTTAAGATTCCTGTGGATTAAAGTGTTATTAATGAGTTCCTCAGACTGAAATATATATTGTTATCCTAAAGCTATTCTCTTAGATATCAACTGCCAGATAAAATAAGCAATCCTTGACATAGCATTAGTAAGCCATAAACCTGCTGATAACGTTCTTGCTCCAAAGATAATAACAAGTATTGACAACAGCTACCAGCTGCGGTGGAATCGCATAGAAATAGATCAGGCATTTTAAGAAAAGCTACTTCAGGGCATAGTTTTGGTGATGCATTTCCTTTAGACAAGTAGAAGTCAGTCATCAGATCCCCCCATTTAAGATGGCTCACTTCTGAAAGGCCAAAACTGCCCTCTGTTTTCTCAGTAGAAGACAGGAATCTGAATTGCATTCCAGTGCTTCAAAGCAGCAAATGAAATACTTCCTCACAGCTTAGATTAAAATGAGACACATCATCATGGCTTTACATAACATCTGACTTGGTTGGGGCATACCTGTCAATGGGTGGGAATGTAAAGGAATCCATCAGCTATACTGAACACAGTGCTGCTGTCAGATTTTAGGTAATGAAAAAATGGCACTAGTGAGATGGAGAAAAAGCATTAAAGCTCCAGCTGGTATCCCTCTGGAATGTATCTTAGGAAGCAAATGAGGGGTTACACAGCTCTTTGAAAACACACTTATGTCAAATGGTTAGAGAAAATACCAGCTCTGTTGACTTCACTGATGGGTACAAAATAAAAACAAAATAACATTAAGAAAAACCCCACAACTCTGACTGCTGAAGGACCCTGATAACTGTCATCCTCAAGAGGCTTTTACATTCATTCGCCAATACTGAAACAACAGGGTCTGTAAATGAATTTACACTGACAGAAGTTTCAAGCAAATTTAAGCAAGATGAGAAGTGGTTCTGAGATGAAAGCTGGGTTCACATAACATCTGATGTGTTTTACACACTGCTTTGTTGCTCAGTAGAGGTCTCAGGATTCACTCTGAATTTTTACCTCCAGCCAGGACTCTCCTCTAGACTGAGAGAGGTCAGTGGTAGGTCACCACCAGAAAGCTTGAATTGCAGTGGCCTGCCCAAAAGGCTGAAGTTTATAGTACTCCTAGTCATTTAACCTTCATAAGCACAAATATTTACCCAGAGATTATATAGCATACTATTATTGGAATTTCACCCTTGAATATATAACAGCTGCTGCTGTGTTGCATGCAGTACTCTACTGCTCACAGCATTGGCATTACAGCTTGCAGAGCTGTAACACATTTTCCTAAAAAATACCACGATGGTAAACATCTCAACTTTAGCCAATTCCAGCAGTACAGAAGGACACAGGACCACATCAAGTTCAATAGTCAATAAAGGAATCTCAGATAAGAAGGTGTCAGACTGAGGAATGTTGGCCTGTTAAATGAAATTTGGGAGCAGACAGCATCAAGCTTGCCTTAGTCTCATGACAACAACTACTAAATCAGCCAGGATTAGAGCTCTATAAGAGGTTAAGTGATGAGAGGAGGTTTGCTGAATCTATCACCACCCTTAAGTTCCTCAAATATTTTTGGGAATTTGGCACTAAAAGTTACTTGCAATGAACTGTGCTTTGTATTCTGGAGCTGCTCTTCAAAACTTGGCATTTATTTACCATCTTGGTGATGGGGAAAGAAGAAAAAAAACCACAGCCATCAATCCTTGTTGTTAAAGCTGAGAACTAAAACCTTCAAATATCAGCAAATAACAAAAGTTTAAGTTTCTACACTAACACAAGCTCTGCCAAGCTGTGCATAGGCAGCATTCCCTATTCCTGTGTTCCTTGTCAGTGTAGTGTAGTACTCTGAGCTACACAATGAAGCATACAGGATATATAGGGCAGTGATGCTAATATTTTGATATAACAACTTGCAGTTTGGGAATTTTATAGGTTACAGACAGTTGATCTCTCAATCCCACTTTCAGCTTCAAGGCACTGAAGGAAAGAAGGGTAGAAGGTGCAAGGCTTCACCCCAGCACCTGGAGTTTTGTTCTCTCACACCTCAGGCCGTCCCCTTGCTCACTGCAGCACACAGCGAGACAAGGCACTGCACAGCCCATCTATCTGTCCAACTGGGCATCAGATGCTCCTCTAGAATTCCTTCTGCCAGACCAAACTCCAAGTCCTAATATCAACAAGTGTTTGTCTAGGTAGAGCATACAAATATGCATATGCACAGACCTACACAGAGTCAGCAGAAGTCTAGGCATAGAATCAGACAAAAGCCTTTAGGATACAAGTCCAAAATAGGGCCCCAGAGTACATTTTCAGTAAGTTTACCATCACAGATGGGACTTACTTCTGCAGTTGTCACCCCCCTTGCAATCAGAGGAAACGGAGCGTTAGGACACAGCCACTTCTGGCGGTCTCCCCAGTGCAGCCAGGGAGTCCAAGCAATGCGTTCCAAGCCCTGACTCCCAGCTCACCACATCTGGTTACTCAAGGACCTGATTTCAAAAGGTATGCAACCACTGGGACATCTCGTTTATGTCAACCTCAGTTCCTACCTCCGTATCCAGTTCTGACATTACACTCTGCAGCTCTGGTCCAACACCCTTTCCCTCACCCCTTGCCCTGTCCCCAGTCACCTGCAAGGCCCAGCTCCATGCACAGCATGTCACATGGCAGCTGCTCCCCATTCATCCCACACAAGGATATTGTGTGGTGCCTACAGGGAATGCAGGGCAGCTCAAAGGATTCTGTGTCTGCAGACAAGCCACTGAACTTCCTTGTGGCCTAGGAGTGCATTTGGACAAGTCTGAAACAAAACCTCAACCTATGCTGAAGTCAGAATATGATTAATTGATTTCATTTCCACTCGTAGCTTCATGCCTTGGCAGCAGCCACGCCACAAAGAAAGGCTGCTCTTGGTTATAGCCAGGCTAGAGAAGCCATGACTAGCATTGAAAGGCTCACAAAAACGTTTAATTTGTTATTAAATAGTCATCACTGCCAAGTCCATTTGATGAAGCAGTTTTCCAAGCCTCTGCAGAAGGCACAGGCTGGACAAAGTGGTAATCAGAAAAGGCTCCCAGCTCCTGCTGAGGACAACCAAGGCCTTGTAGCCCCTTTTCCCCCTGTGGGAAGCAGCAATGTCTGCTGACAAAGAGCAGACAGCCCTGAGCACTGAATGTATCGCAGCCTGTCCCAAACTCAGTTCAGCTTTTGGGCAGTCTATAAAGACAGCCCTGGCCAGCCAAAAACACAAGCCACATACTACAGACAGGAGGGCAGAGGATGAGCTAATTGAAGGGCATGACCGAGGGAAATCATTGCACAGAAACTTATTATTTTCTTACTTTTTATAAAGTGAGGTTTTGTCTTGCAATACATTTACCTTTTTATTTAGTCTATATAAGATACAATAAAATTTGAGCTGATAACTCATCTTTGAGCTTCACTGCAAATCCCTCTTTGAGCTCTTAGATGGTGAGTTTCTGACAGGTTGTTGGAACAGCCTCCTTCCTTCATGGTACAACTCCTTTCTGCCTGTTTTTACCAAGATTCTGTGAGAAGGGATGATCCCTTTTCCCCCACAGCCAAGAGTTTGAGATGGATCAGACACAGCATTTGGAAGAGCAATCCCAAACTCAACACTTGACTAACTTGATGTGATGCTCCAAACCCACACTGTGGATTCAGCAGGACATTTCTAAAATGCTTATACGATGAAGTGACTAAAGGCGTTCAAACATCAACACTAACAGCTCAAAAACCACAACCTACATTTGGCAACAAAAAGAGAACTGCAAAACTATACAGGCAAGTATTTAGCATCAGCCTCAATAGAAACAAAAGAAGTAAATCCAGGCCACTGTTAGGTACCGGACCCCAGACACAGGAGTTCTGCCCATCCACAGATGTAGGCTTAAGACACCACCTTGTCATTTCCCTGGGGATCCAGGCTGAGCTGCCAGCCCCATGCTTTTCCAGCTCCTCCAGCCTCTTGCTTACAGGCAACACTCTCACCCTTTTTCTGTAACACGGAATTACTGTCCTGGCAGGGCTGAGTCAGTGCCAAACTTCACTTAAAGGCAGACCCCAGAAGGAGAACTATTCCCTCTCATTTTCCTCTGGTCTTCACCAATCTTGTTCCGTCTTCTAAACAGTGACCAAAAGCAAAACAAAAAAGCCAAACCACTGCTATAAAAAGCTTTGGAAACCACAACAGAGGCTTTGAAGATCTAAAAGATAGAAGATGGTGCTTCCTCCCTCACTTCAGGGGGTAGGAAGAGATTGCAATGCCTGACCACAGCAGGCTGTATCCACACCTGCACCAGCTTGGCCTCCTGAACAAGGAGAGAAGATTTGGGGCAGATACCCTTAGAACCCAAAAAACCAGGTACAAGTAGCATGCAGGATGCCCACAGCCAGTCATGCCCTAGCTCACGCATGGTGCCACTGTCACAAGACAAGGAAAGGCCTCACTGCAGGCCTGCCATCCATGTCGCAAGCTTCACCTTCACCTGGCTGCTGGCCCACAGCTCTCCCATGGGAGCCCCATGCACAGCAAGACAAGAGCCACAAAGAAATGATAAAATGAGGACATTAAGAGGTACAATAAACTGCAGTCTAACAGCACAGCTCCTCCTGATGAGGCACAGACTATCACCAAGGCATTACCACATTACTGCCACTCTCATCCACACCACTACTATCTGCACATTACTTCTTCAGCAGCATGTCTGAATTCCAAGAAGGAGCCAGTAGCTCTATCAGTAGGCCACTCCAGGCAAGGCAAAAGAAAGAAACATCTTCCATGCCCCACCACAGTAACTGCTCTCTATAGAAAAGAGCACTTCAGAGAAACTGAAACACAAACAAATCCCCTTCCACCACCCCCAGGTGGCCTCTCTGTACCTCTTTTCCAAGCAGCTCACACCGGAACCTACTGGTAACTCCCCTCCCTGCAAATCTGCAGAAAACTTCTCTCTTCAAAGAGTAACTGATTTCCTCTGCCTTAATTGCACTGATTGCACTCTCCACCTGGCC